TTTTTTTGGAGACAGAGTCTTGCTCTGTTGCCTGGGCTAGAGTGCAGTGGCATCAGCCTAGCTCACAGCAACCTCAAACTCCTGGGCTCAAGCAATTCTTCTGCCTCAGCCTCCCGAGTAGTTGGGACTACAGGCATGTGCCACCATGCCTGGCTAATTTTTTCTATATATTTTTAGTTGTCCAGCTAATTCCTCTCTATTTTTAGCAGAGACAGAGTCTCACTCTTGCTCAGGCTGGTCTCAAACTCCTGACCTTGAGCGATCATCCCGCCTTGGCCTCCCAGAGTGAGTGCTAGGATTACAGGCACGAGCCACTGCGCCCAGCTGGAAATAATATTTTTTGTCGGAACTAATGTTATGGACAAATGGGCTCAGAGAGGGTAAGTGACTCACCTAAAGTCACACAGCTACTAAAAGGGTGGACTAGGATTTGAACTCTCATCTGTCTGAGTATAAATCCTGAGCTCTCTCTACTCCGGATGCTGCCTCTTTCTTGGAGTTAACACTCAGCTTTTCCGCCCTAGAGTTATGATCTGAGAATTCCTCCAGAGATCATTGTTGTGGATGGCCACGGTCCCCAGAAGGTGAGGTGAAGATGTCCCAACCCATGCCAGACAGGTGGTTTTAGTCCCAGCCCCACGCTCAAAGTCAGGTGCCCACCCTTTGATGCTTCCAGCGCATTTTATGGAAGGTCAGGCACGAAGGTCAACATGGGTGACCTTCCGCTGTCTGTAGACCCAGCCTGCATGGGTTCCCAGCAGCGATAACAGACAAGTGAAGACATGCATTCAGTCTAAAACCAGCCATCTGCCTGCAGGTGGGCAAATGTCAGAGAGACAGACAACAACTCATCTTTCTCCCAAAACAACAAATGCTGGTGTGGATGCAGGAAGATGGGAACACTCATACACTGCTGGTGGGACTGCAAACTAGTACAACCTCCATGAAAAGTAATATGGAGACACCCCAAAGAACTAAAAGTAGAACTACCATTTGATCCAGCAATCTCACTACTGGGTATTGACCCAAAGGAAAAAAAAGACATTCTATAAAAAAAGACATCTGCACTAGAATGTTTATAGCAGCACAATTTATAATTGCAAAGATGTGGAAACAACCCAAGTGCCCATCAATAGAGGAGTGGATTAATGAAATATGGTATATGTATACCATGGAGTACTGCTCAGCTATAAAAAAAATGGTGAACTAATACCTCTTGTATTATCCTGGATGGAGCTGGAGCCCATACTTCTAAGTGAAGCATCACAAGAATGGAAAAACAAACACCAAACGCCACATGTACTCACCACTAAATTGGTATTAATCGATTAATGTGCATGTATGGAAGTAACGTGTATCAGGTGTCGGGCAGGTGGGGGAGGAGGGGATGGGTAAACTCACACCTAAGGGGTGCCATGCGAGCTGTCTGGGGGATGGGCACACCTGTAGCTCTGACCCAGGAGGTGCAAGGTCAATTTATGTAACCAAAGCATTTGTACCCCCGTAATATTCTAAAATAAAAAATTC